CTATCAGTGCAGTGTATAAATTATAGTGAGATTGTGGTAACTGCAACCATTTCTTTTCTATCAGTGCGCGATCTAACGGTCGATTTTCCACTGAACAGATTTCGCTGCAAGGGCAATAAATTCATGGTGGAACCGACGGATGATTAATTTAGCAGAAACTCCGCTGTCTCATAATACGGGAGTTTCCTTTGCTCTGGGGGAAAAAAAAAGACAGCAACCCAATTTTGGGGCCCTCAATTAGTAATCGAATTACTTGGATTGTTCGTAACACTAATGTTTTACGAATTTTACCCCGCGTAACTAAAAATCGCAATTATTATAGCTATTCTATCTATATCCAAGGTTTTTAAGTAATACTAATCCATTCTCTCAATTAGTTCTGTCGATATTCAGTAACGCAAAGATAATTTTTACCTAAGCGGCACTAACCGAAATGTTAAATTGCTTAACTACAAAAAAAACGGTCAAAAGTTTTCCAAATAATTCGATAATTAATTGTGGGCTCCAAAATGGGTTGCTGTCCTTTATTCCCAGAGTATGCTTGTGCATCAATGCAAATTTGTCTGGATAGACCACAGGCCTCTACCTATGCCCAATTCCACGTTTTAACGTTACACGAGATACTTGGTACGTGTAGACGTTCAGACTGTGACGTCACCGCATATTTAAAAAAAAGACCGCATTAGGTATACCGAGAAAGAAATTCTAGCGGAGCGTGGAGTGCAATTCGGCGGACGAGCGAGGACCGCGCCGAAGAAAATCGGTTAGAAGCAATTCGCGCGCCGTGGCGTGCGAGAGAGCGCAAGAGCGGAATGCACTTACGCTACTCTCCCGGCACAGGCCGAAACGCCCGGAGGGAACCAATTCCGTGGTAGCGGCATCGAGGACGGAAGAGAGAAGCTCGTTCTACCACGTTTCGCGAGAGAGGGAAGGGAAGGGAAGAGGGCACCGACGCGGAGGAGGCGAACGGTGCGGCAAAAGTAGGAGAGACAGGCGGCGAAGGGAAAGGAGGGGGGGGGGGGCACACGGAGGAGGGTCAAATCATCCTTGCACAAGGCGATACGAGACAACCTCCGTTCCCCTCCGGCGTAGCGACTTTCGTCCGATAAAGTCACCCCGGTGGCGCGGGGGGGAGGGGGAGGGGACCTCTCGGAGAGGCCCCCGGAGAGTCCGCGCCGCGCGCTTTCGAATTTCACGCGAAATTCGGTCAATTTCGGCGCGCCTGCACTTTGCGGCTCGCGCGCGACCAGCCCCGTTTTATCATCGCGCGGTGATTTCGCTGTTTCGCCCGTCGCGCCTTCCCCTCTGTCCCACCGCATTGTCGACGTCGTCGTCGTCGTCGTCGTCGTCGTCCGCCCTTTCGCACGGGGACCGCGTGCCCGATCGTCCGGGGGTCCCCCGCGCCGCGAGAGCATCGCCGGCGATAGACGCGGCCGTGGAAGGCGATGGAGCATAGAAAGGAGCGCGGCGTTGCACACGCAGGTTTCCTCGCTCCGTTCGCGGTCCCGCGCGTTTCATGCGGATCAATGCCCCGGCAAAAGTTCTTTGAGCCGAGGACCACCTGCCCGCGAAGGACCCGCCCAGAGCGCGCAACGGCACCGGTGCATTGGCCCCTGTTACTCCCGTACGCCGTGACTTTACTTTACTTGACTCGACTTAGCAGTCATATATGTATAATATACATGCACGTACGTACAGGATTTGACGCCCTTTGTGGAACCAAATGCCGTGCATTCAAAGTTTCCGCTGTTAAGAGAGACATAATACCTGCGTGTTTCCCTCGCTAAATCTCGCGGGCACTTTTGTCTCGCACCAGAATAAACAGCTCGTTTTTTATATCGAGTATTTCTGCGC